ACAGAGGGAAAGACAGATAGACAGAAACAACAGAGGGAAAGACAGATAGACAGAAACAACAGAGGGAAAGACAGACAGACAGAAACAACAGAAGGTACAAAAAGCAACCTCAGTCTCACATTCAGAAAGAGATTTCTCTAGGCGAGATAACGATACCGTTGTTTGATCAAACAAAGCTATGACAGTGGTCAAAAGAAGGCAATTAACTCTGTAAGCCCTAAGTGTTTTCCACCATTTCCTTGAGTTTTTTCAACAGTCACTTAAACCTGGTGCACTATGTCTCATTATAACCCCAAAAGCTTGCCTCCAACTTCTAAATAGCGGAAACAAAGGCTTTGTCATTACTAAAAGACTTGGTTCGCGAATAGTTCAGAAAAACAGGCAAAAACTAGCACTAAATAAAACAAAACAGTTGTCACAAGTACTGGACTCTCCCAGTGTCCGATGGGGTTGAAAGAGTTAATTATCATCATAATATTGTTTAATATAATATCCAAGCCTGCGAGCTCTGACGTAATCCCGGAGAGCCAAGAGAGCAAAGGCCAGTGATGGGAGAACATGCCAATAAGGGGCCAAGGACATCATTAAGAGACACGTCTATCTATGCAAATTACAAACATTAACGCGGTGTCCTTTTCACTTTGCTATTCAACATTCTCCATCGATTGGCCGCCATTCACAGCTGATGGAAGTGTGAGCGAGACATTCGAATGTCGTGGCATTTTTACAGTTCATTGATTTTCCTCTCATCCTCCATCTCAACTCATTGTATGCAAGATCTGGACATTTTCTCAATAAAATCTTTTTGTTCAATACAACATTTCTTTGTTCCTGATGATTTGTTTATGTGAGTGTGTTACGGCATTCGCAACACAATAAGGTCATATGATATAAGTGCCAAAGAATAGAAGTGTTACAAGAGAGTGACATACACAGGGAAGAAGGAGGACAGATCTGGACGATAGATGTTTGATGGGGAAGAAGGAGCAAACCACACCAGAGCACCCACCAACCACCCACACTTGCTGATTACGAGACAGGGTGGTAAGTGGAGCCAACAAGAGTTCTCGTTCCATGCACCTTTCCAAAGAGATAGACATCACAGTCTCCAATTTTGACTGTCGTAAATAAATAGATCAGTTTTTCCTGAATAGACATAAGGGTCTTGAACATCTAGCTCTCATTGGCAAAATTGAGGGCAAGCGAGGCAGGGGTAGGCCCCGAACA